GAAGATTTTTAAAGATTTTTCCTATATACTCCTATGTAAAACTTTGATCGGCCATTTTGGCCCCACCCTAGCCCCGGGGGTCATGATATGAACATTTGAATCTACATTACCTGAGGATGATTCCACATGAGTTTCATCTTTCCTGACCCAGTGGTTCTTTAGAAGAAGATTTTTTTTTTAAATGCCATTAATTTTTCTCTAATTCATAATTATCTCCCCTTGGAAAAGGGCGTGCCCTTCATTTGAACAAATTTGAATTCCCTTTACCCAAGGATACTTTGTAGCAAGTTTGGTTGAAATTGGCCCAGTGGTTCTTGAGAAGAAGATGAGAATGTGAAAAGTTTACAACGACGACTACGACAACGACGACAGACAACGGACAAATTTTGATCAGAAAAACTCACTTGAGCCTTCGGCTCAGGTGAGCTAAAAAACTGAGGAAAAAGAAATCAAAATATAAAATTAAATTATAACAAACTAGTATTTTACTGCTCAGTTCACGAAGAAAACATTAATAAAGAACAAAAAGTTGATGCTCACTTGAAGCGATACCTGTAGAGTTACATGACTGTATACTCCCTCCCTGATGTAAATGCACAAGTTCAGTAAATTGGAGGTATCAATAAGCACGACTAAAAAATACAAAGCCCTCCTATTCTAAAACTAAAACTAAAATGAGTTCCGTCATTTTGTTTACTTAAACAAAAAAAAATGTGTATGGCATCCGCATCGTGTTTGTTACCGACAAACAGACACAGAAAAGGGTACGTAGAACTACAGGTATGTCACAGTATATAGCCAAAAAAAAAGATAGGCACTGCAACTTTCCATCTGATCCCTCTCCTAAGTCTCATCTTCTCTCTCCCGAGTCTCCTCCTCCCCATTCTTTCTTCTCTGTCCGTTTCTTCCTCCCCCATCCCTGTCCTTGGCATACCTTAGCCATTCTTTGATTGTGTTCTCAATGTCTTTGTAGAATCTCCAGTAGAACTAAAATTGTAGTATTTGGTACTTAATACATTTGTTACTTTTCTCAGTAAAGAGTAAACATACGATTAAATTTACAAGTATATAACACTATATATTTAAGCTGTCAATTAAAGAGTAACCGTCTTTTTTGTTTCATGGTATAATTAAGCGATTAGCTTGCGTGATGAAGGCATTTATGCATAAAATTTCTACGCTTGATCATCATCATCATCATCAAACCGATTTTGATTCAATGTTGCACCATATAAATCATTATTCAAAGTAAAATACATGTAGAAAATTTGTCGGTACACTGAACAAATTTTAAATGAAAGCACCCAATTTATGTTTTAGTACTGAATAAATTTTATTTTATGATTAACATGTTCAACATTTTCAACATGTTTGATAATGTGCTCGACAGTGTTGACCCTACAGCACCTGGCCGCTGCACTTCCCCATGTCTAATATACACAGATTTTTACACGATATCGTTTAAACTAAACGTTAATTAAGCTGTGTCGAAGCAAACATATTATAAATACTTACAAAGTGGATGCAGATATGCAAGGTATCAGTCTCATTACGCTCGTGTCAGATTAAAAATGGCGCGGATATTACAAGTAGCCCGGATGTTGTCTACCCATGATGCTCAGCCAGATTCATGGTATATTGGGCCAACTTAGGGCCGATGCCAATCCCCCAACAAATATTTTCTCTCATGATAATAGTTTTATGATATAACGCCGACAGTTAGCCCAACACTGGCAAGCGCCTCGGGAAATAGACTTGCTCTTGGGGAACTGGAATCTAGCTGACTCCCTCCGTGATATACTTTAAATGTATACTATAGCACAAGGGCACATTTATAAATGTTTTGGCAAGTGCTACCTCATTGTTCAGGAAAGGTGGATGTGTGTTTCTCTTAGATATTGCAAGCCATTTCTAAATTTTATATCATTAAGGACAGATGATACAAACAAATTTTTTCTTTGAAAAAGATTAAATATCATGTCACAAGTTTAGAAAAGTGGATGGTTCTTAGATTTTGTTCTCCTAAGAAATGGAATATGAAAAACACTTGGAAAATATTACTAATATTTCAATGAAAAAAAAAATATAGACAAATCACATTCAGTAAAGGTTTACAGGTGAAAACAAATTTCATAATATGTTATCTTGGTGCTAAAAGTGTAGTATAAACTGAAGAAAAATACACCAAGCCAGGTGAATTTTATTAGGAAAAGCTAAATTGTAAAAATCAGCCTATGTGATATTGCTAATTTTTTGTCATTTTGTTCCTCCTCTTCAAATTCACCTGGCTTGGTATATTTTTCTTCAGTTTATATTATACTTTTAGCACCAAGATAACATATTATGAAATTTGTTCTCACCTGTAAACCTTTACTGAATGTGATTTGTCTATATTTGTTTTTTTATTGAAATATTACTAATATTTTCCTAGTCTATTTCATTTTCCAATTCTTTAGAGAAAATATTCAAAGAACCATCCACTTTTCTAAACTTGTGACATGATATTTAACCGTTTTCAAAGAAAAAATTTGTTTGTATCATCTGTCCTTAAAGGTTGCAACTGCAACGCTTAATAATACACTTGCGTGCATCATTAGTCGTCGAATATGTCATATTTACTTGTTTCATTGAGCGTCGGTGTTGCTCTGCATTTGTGACGCTTACTAATATAATGCAATCATTAAGCGGCGATTTAGCATTAGCGGTTGAGAATGTGAGCTATTAATGCAATAATTTATGGCATTTAGCGTTGCATTTGCAACGCTTAATGATACTTGTATCTTTAGGCGGCAAGGCTATTTTCCATTTTTTCCCAAACTTCTTTACTGCATGGAACACACAAAAATTGAGTTTACCAATAATGTTTTAGAAAAATTGGAATCTTGAAACACTTTTTTCAGAAATGAGCATGTATTAATTTTTTGGCGTCGTTTGATATGTAATTTAGTTATCTAACACCCATCCCTGCCCCTCATCGCTAGACAAATGCACGTACACTTTTAATTTGCTAACCAATGTGTACATGCCGAACAAGCACATCAAGAGCTTTCATTGGAGACTTATCCAATTAAAATGTCAGAAACAGAGTCACAATAAGAACAAGAGGCCCATGGGCCACATCGCTCACCTGAGTACTGTAGCTTGGGAAAAAAGCAGAAATCAGTTTACTATTGAAAAGTTTAAACCCAAAAGTGGTCCCAACAAATCCTCAAAGGGGAGAGGGTATGATTTGAACAAACTTGAATCTACACTAACTGAGGATGCTTGCATATTTCTTTGACTACCTGTGGCTTAATTGCCCTTTACATTTGAACTTACATTATAGCCCCGCCCTACTCCCAGGGGTCATGACTTGAACAAACCTGAATCTACAATACCTGAGAATGCTTCCATATGAATATTACTAATCATGGCTTTGCCATTCATAAAAAGAAGATTTTTAAAGAATTTTTCTACATTTTCCTATGTAAAACTTGCATTCTATGTTGTGGCCCCGCCTTACCCCCAGGGGTCATGATTTGAACAAACCTGAATCTACACTACCTGAGGATGCTTCCGTATAAATATGATCATTCATGCCTGAATTTTCCTAAGATATAATTCTATGTTTAACTTTGATTGGCCATTGTGGCCCCGCCCTATCCCCTGGGTCATGATTTGAACAAACTTGAATCTACGCTACCTAAGGATGCTTCCCTATAAGTTTCATCTTTCCTGGCACAGTGGTTCTTGAGAAAACAATTTTTAAAGAATTTTCCAATATATTCCTATGTTAAACTTTGATCGGCCATTGTTGCCTCGCCCTACCCCCGGGGGTCATGATTTGAACAAACTTGAATCTGCACTACCTGAGGATGCTTCCATATAAGTTTCATCTTTCCTTGCACAGTGGTTCTTGAGAAGATTTTAAAAGAATTTTCCTATATATTTCTATGTAAAACTTTGATCGCCATTGTGGCCCCGCCCTACCTCCGGGGGTCATGATTTGAACAAACCTGAATCTACACTAGCTGAGGATGCTTCCCTATAAGTTTCATCTTTCCTGACACAGTGGTTCTTGAGAAGATTTTTAAAACATACCACCAAATTTTCACTATTTCTGAATTATCTCCCCTTGAATAAGGGCGTGGCCCTTCATTTGAACAAATTTAAATTCCCTTCTACCAAGGATACTTTGTGCCAAGTTTGGTTGAAATTGGCCCAGTGGTTCTTGAGAAGAAGTCGAAAATGTGAAAAGTTTACAAACAGACGGACGCCGGACAAAATGTGATCAGAAAAGCTCACTTGAGCCTTCGGCTCAGGCGAGCTAAAAATTAAAGACACATTTAGATTATAATTAAGTAATGTCTGTAAAAACCGTTACCTTTTCCAGTTCTAACTATTTTGTGAAGTGATATCCCCATGGTTTATGATATTTTTAACACAATCCAAAAAAATTAAATTTATTTTGTTTTATTACATATTATTTTATTACATGTTAAAATGGAGATCATTTTCTGTAAAACAAAAATAGTTATAATTTCACAATTATAGTTAACCAGGGGCGTAACAACAGGGGGGCCACCCCCCTTTTTTTCCCCAGCCTTACTTATACTATAGAAAATGTTAATTGAAGGCCTGGTTTCCCCCCCCCCCCCACTTTTAGTGATGTACGGAAACTGTAGTATTAGAATTGGAACTGAAAGTAGTTGACACTGAGAAAAAGTTTACCTCAACACCCCCCCCCCTCCCCCTAGGATTTTCGACTTTGGGCAACTTTTTTTTTTTTGGTCAACTTGTCAGCTTGTCAACTTTTTCAGGTAAGTAAAAAAAAATTTCTCTGGCTGGCCCCCCACTTTCAAAAACGATGCTACGCGCCTGTTAACACAGTGTATGACTTGATGTTTCTGAAAAACAAATTTCTCCATCAATAAAAAGGAAACGCAATTTTTCCCTATTACATGTCTTTCTTCTCGATTCCTTTGAAAAGTGAAGCGATATTTGATTGAAAGAAAAATAAATTTTTCCAAAGTTTTATATATTTATTTAATTACACAATATTTTAGATGAAAAAAAGTAAAAAGTTCAATTCAGTTTCTCCCTGATCTATGCAGATTTTAATAATTGGTAGGCTGTGTTTTAACCTAAACGAGATCGGCATTTGCAGGCTGACTTCCATATATTGCAGGCACACACGTATCCTTTACAACATCGTGCAAATCTGTATGGACTATCAGGTATGCAAGGAAGACCCCATGGCATACAAGCGGAAGGATTAACAATTTGCCTGTAATCAATAAAATACAAATTATTATTAATGCACACGTACTCAAAGATTCGGGGGTATATAATTTTTGCTCTGTCAATCCTTCTGTCTGTTTGTCTGCATTGCTCATAGCACGGTGGTGCTATGGATTTCATATTTCAAAAGTGTATCTCTTGTGACAAGACCCTTTCTTTGGGTACCAACAAATTTGACCTCTTGACCTTGAAAGTTGACCCACTTCAAGAAAAAACACCACACTAACTTTGGTCGTAACATTTGAAAAAGTGGTGCTACGGATTTCATACTTCAAATGTGTATTCATTGGGACTCTTTTGTTGACTTAAAGAGATTAATCACTTAAACAAGAGGCCCACGGGCCTTATAGGTCACCTGAGTATCATGTAACAACTTTACAGCGATTGTATTTGGTTCGTGCGTTCGGGCAGATTAGATAAATTTTATATGAAATAGCTTATAATTTATATAAATAAGCCATATCCAAAAGCCATGAAATTCACAAATTTTGAAAGAGGCACCATCGCTTATCAAAGAGCAGATTTCAAAGCATTAATTTATTTTTAAACAAAGTCACACCCCCCCCCCCGGTACTCCTGACCCAGGGGCCCTGAACTTATCCATTTTGAAAGAGACACCTTTCTTCATCATACGACCAGCATTTTTTTTATTTTTCTGTTTAGTTACAAACATCAGAATAAAAAAGTCCCGAAGGAAAAGAATTTTTTTTTTGGATAAATCAATTATCCACATTTGTACATTGTTATTTGCTTCTTTTTTATGCTATCCTAACAGGCTCCAGAGAAATTATTTTACACTTAATTGAAAAACGTTTACCCCACTCCCAGTACTCCCTGTCAGTTTTGGCCAGTGATGTAAAGAAATACGCACGCTAACTCTCGATCCCCGCCTACATTTTGGAACCATTTAATTCTAAATGAATAGCAGTTTGGATATAAAATTTTTGTTTAATACAAAGATTTTGTTCAATGGTAATTGATGAATTGTCTTAATACCAGCGCTAAACAGTAAATTATCCATAATTCCTGCTCTTGAAAAAATGGGGGTAGACGATATTATCCATTGAAATCGGAGTTTCAGGCATCACCATATTTTGAAATAGTCATGAATATAATTAAGTGTTCCTTATATCTTTTCCTTTGTCATAGGCAAATAAATAAAAACATGAATATATCAATAAAATATAATGTTTCAGTTGTAAATCGCTTTGAAATTGGGGGAAAATAAACATTTGTATCTTTTTTTTGTCAATAAACATATGTTCCCCTCGTGTCACACAAAAAAGCTTTGGTATGAATTTGTGAAATAACATTCCATATAACCTGTAAAAATTGACACGGGGGGGGGGGAAGATGTTTTAAAAATATTTTCCATTTTCCGTAAAAACACAAGTTTTACCAAAACTTTAGAGTTATCTCTCTTTGTTTTCCCAAATAAGTAATGTTTTATGAAAATCCACATAATTATAAAAATATAAAAAATTCATCAACTATGTTAACTTTTGAAAATTGACTTGGAGGTAGGCGGGAGAACAATACTATCGTTCGCAGTGCTTTTGTGATGTTGATCAAATTTAAAGATATTTTTAAAAATCAATTCTTTAAAACTCTTTCAATATATCTTAATTTTTTAATATGTGATAGGTGAATGTGTAGACATTAATATTGTTCTGAAATATACTTGATGCCTAAAATTATAATTCCTATCATAAAACAGACAGGGAGGATAGGGAGTAGGGTGAACTTTTTTTCAATTAAGTGTAAAATAATTTTTCTGGCTGCCACAAACGATACTACATGCCTGTAAATATTTGTGTATACTTGCTTTCTTTTTTTATTTCTTCAGGTTATATTGTTGATTTCTTCCTCAAATGGACTTAACTTCTCCTATATTTTTATTCATTACATTTGATGCATAAGCGACCCTTTTCTGAAGAAGTATGCTTAGACTGTTAGCTATATCAGAGACCTAAACAATGTCGCTGGCAATAGCTACCACGGGCAGTTTTAAACCTGTGGGAGGAAAATAATTTACAGGCAGAAACTTTTGAATACGAATACATAATTATCTCACCAGCATGTCAATGTGCAACAAAGTCGTCAGCATTTTATTTGTCCTTTGAACGGGTGAAACGTTTTGAATGGCACTCTTATTGTTAAATTTTTACACTAACCAAGCTATGGTGCTGCTATGATTGAACTTTGCAGATTTACCTTTATTTTGTTCATAAAACCGGAAGTACGAGTTCGTAAATATGAAATCTCGATCCCGAGTCAAATTTGACATCGGAAAGAAAAAAATTCTGTTTAATTATTTTTTTTCTGAAAATTCAAAACCTTGCGCGGCGGGTTTGTTAACCTTAAATTAAATAAATGCTGTAAATATGTAATTAGATCATTGGCATATTAACCAGGAGCAAAGGAAAAGATGTTCAAAGAATTCATGCATTTCAAGTATACAATCATTATGGCCCCACCCTAACACCAGAACCCCTAATGCAGGGGCCCTGAAATTCACAAATTGGGAAGAGGCAGTCTTATTTAACATAACCATATACTTGGTAAGTTTATTTAATGCCCAGGAGTAGAGAAAAAGATTTTTAAAGAAATAATGTATTTTCACTATATAATTAATAGAGCCCTACCCTAACACCAGAACCCCTGACCCTGGAGCCATGATATTCATGATTTGGGAAGAGGCAGTCTTATTCAACATAACCATGTACTTGATTAGTTTATTTGATACCAAGGAGCAGAGAAGAAGATTTTCAAAGAATTTATGCAATTTCACTGTATTTGTATCAATAGAGCCCCACCCTAACACTAGAACCCCTAACCCTGGGGCCATGACATTCACAATTTTGGAAGAGGCAGCCTCATTCAACATAACTATGTACTTGGTTTATTTAATGCTCAGGAGCAGAGAAGAAGATTTTCAAAGAATTTATGCAATTTCACATGTGCATTCCTTGTGACAAGATTTCCTTCGGGTACCAAATTTGACCTTCCAGAAATTGTAAAATTTCAACTCCTCGCCATAAGCTGCCATATGGGGGCATAAACTCTTTCACAGATACATCTTGTTCATTGTGTTTTAGTTGAACCGAACAATTTTTAAAATAGCAATTCCATGTATGCATTAAAACTCTAATGTAGGGAGTGCGGCACGCTACGTAAAGGATTTTTTAAAACTTGACAAACTTTCCAATATTGATGTATGAAATTAAAATTCATAATAAAATGATTGTTATGGTCTATGATTACCATGGAAACCAACATACACTTTTCATGGTTTAAAGTCGCTAAATTTTGATAGAAATGCCCTTTTTTGACAAATCTGTAGTCTTTATTAAACAAAATATTTAAATGACATCTTTTTGCAAGAATACCCCATTTTGGAGTTCTTTAGATAATTTCTAGTATTTGAATAAAAATAAATATCTCCCGTTTTTAGTAGAATTTGTTTGGGGAAAATTGTAAACTTTCAGCTCTTTTTGGAAACCTGGTAATAAAAATTTGGAAAATGGAACACTTGGCAAAAAAATAAATACATTGGTTTGAAAATCCATGTATAGTTCTAATATAAACTTATGCTTATGCTATTTTAAAGAATTCCAGACTGCAATAGGTATCTTCAACCTGTTTTCAATATAAATACTATTCTAAAATGGGTGATAACCAAATTTAGATATATGGTACACAAAAGCAAAAACAGAAAAAATCCATTTTAATGATCAAAGTCAAGGTCAAAATGGCTTGATTTAAATAAAAAATTAAGGAAACTTAAGAGCCCTCGCTACACTACACATTAAAGAGGTTTTTTTCTAAATAGAAGTGATCTGCCTTTATATCTAAATATCAATAAATACTGCAGTAGATATTTACAGTATATCACCCAATTTGTAATCAATTATAGTATTCTTTTCATTTTTAAAGATCAAGATAAATATTAAATTGAACATGTTACTTAAATGTATTTTATCCATGGATGTAAAGAACAGTGTTCATTGATACTCTGTTGTGTTTGAACATTTTTTTTCTGCCACGTACCATATATCAGAATAAATAGATAAGCTCAATATTTCCACCATTAAACAATATGATTTTCTTAAAATTAAAAAAAAAACATTTCTTCAATGGTGTAAAAAGGCCCTTAGCACATTTTTTTTCTGCGTCATTACTAATACTTGTTTTATACAACATGTGAATAATTAAAATTATAGTTATGGTGGACAATAACCAATATCTCACTGGGTACTCATCTCTTTTTCACATCTCCTCTTATACCACAGAATGAGACTTTCACAGAATAATTGTTACATAGTGCATTGTGCACCTTCTATTTTACTTTTTGATCGGACACATACATGCATTTTGGGTTTCCCATAGCATAGCATGAACACTGCCATTCTTTCTATAACATTAAGTACCCCATCTCTTATCCGCAATTCCTCCCATACCACTGCAAATAAAAAATTAAGTGATACTTTCACAGATTCTTTGTTACAATATGTCATCTCCTATTTTAGTTTTGATCTGACCAGAGTTGGCCGGTAAACAAGCTGGAAATACTCATAATTCCTAGGACGGGGGAAACACGGGTATTTCCCGGGATATTACTGGTACTGATAAATACCACGGCGAATACTAGGAAAATGGAAATGCTACCGTATAAGTAGAAATTTCAGCGAGGCGCAAATTAAGCGATTTTTCTTTAAAAATTGGTAATTTTTTTTAGCGAAATCAATTTCTATTGATGAATCCCTAACCAATCCACATTTCATGCGTATCTTGTCATTAATGCAACTTTTTCTCGCTATACTACATGTATCGAAACGCAGGAAAATATCAGTATTCACTCCATTACTTTTATGCAAAAAATTAACACCAACAACAAGCTATGCACTACAGCCAGCCGAGCATGCGCTAGAAAATACAAAGTATGGGCCAAAAAAATAGTAAAGGAAAGAAAAAAAGAAAAACGAC